AAAAAAAAAAAAAAAAAAAAAAAAAAAAAAAAAAAAAAAAAAGCTGTCAAAATGATAATCACTAAAGAAAAAAAGAAACCTGTGTGAGTGAAAGTTGGCAAGTCTGTTAGCAGAATGACTACTGTACTGGAAAATTACTGAGCACTGTTTATAAAGGCAATCAGACAGGAATGTTAGTCTTGGAGTCCTACTTTCGACATCAGCAGCTGTATTATTCTACTAGATTCCTYGTACTTTTCTCCAAAAAGAAAGAAAAGTCTTCTAGTGACTGGGTGTGGCACAACCTGTTCCCAAAAGAAAAGATTCACCTGATTGTTTTGACCCCAGTSCAGCAGAGAGGTGGTGAAGGGTTTCAGGAGTGTGTGGGGAGAGGACAATCCAGCAGCAGAGTGTGTGTGATTCACAGAAAACACAAATCCATTTGAAAAGAGAGTTTTCTTCTCCATAGTCGAGCATGAGCTTAGTTTGACAGCTGTAAGCAAAGTATATCTGACTGTCAGTTCCACATGACTGATTCTCAGAAATCTTTTCCAATTCTCCTTGCTAAAATTATCCAATGTGAAATCCTGGCCCTGCTGAAAGTTGSTCTGAGTTTTTGCCTAAATCAGTAGAGCCAGTTTCATCCAGGTGCCTCAGAAAACTAAAAGTGAYTTTGACAGGGTTTTGCATCACAAACTGGTGCTAAAGAGAACCACTGCAAAGTGGGCATGGAGTTATCCTCACCTGTAATTAAASCAAAAGGTCATTTTAATGCACATTAAAGTTCATTGAACCTTCAGTTCCATTTAAATTCAATAAAATCTATTAGAAATAGAAGCCTCATATTACAGGACTTTAGATATGTTTCTGTCATAAGGACTTTCTCAAACTTGTTTTGTAGGAAATTTCCTCTGATGCTTTACTCAGCACTAGTAAAGGCTCTAAAATGGTTGTAGTTAAGAGCCAGCCCTAAAAAAAAACCAAGTTTCATAACAAAAAAAGTGTGTTACTGCAAACATGAGCTATTACTGTGAAAGCAGGGAAATAAATTTCACTGTAGCATTGAGAAGGGAACAAAAGTACCCTGTAGGTAGAGAGGGGATGTGTGAACATGGCCTGGATGTGTGGTTATGGAAGACAACCCAGTGTTCTTCTGCAGGCTCAGGGCAGAAACAACCCTGAAATTCAATGGGCTGCAATATTYACCCCAGAAGATGTAATGGCTTTGTGCTCTAAGCAGCTACAAATCTCTGAAAAGTGACCTCATGTCTTTTGATTGCACTCCCTTACCCCCGCCATCCTTCAGCCCTGATCTGTTTTATCTTCCTGACATTTTTTTCCCGAATCTTTAGCTACAAGCCCTCATTTGCAGACATTCATCTCCCCTGGCTTTATGTGCAGTGCTGTAGGCTACTTTTTTTTTCCTAGAAAATGTGGGAGTCTTAGGCAAGTAGGTAGAGTAGATAATTCAAGGTTAATGACTAATCCAGACCACAGAGAGATCAAATGATGAACTGAATCTCCACAAGATATTTCAAGTTTGCTCTAGGGGCTGCCAGATGAGTGTTGCCAAAGCAGATTAGAAGAAGAACTCCCAATTCCTCAGAAGAGATACTGAGAGGTCAGAGGTTGAGGAAGACTCAGAAGACAAAGATTTAGAACAGCCCTCTCAGATTGCATGTCCTGCCCATCCCAGCTTTTTGATGCTTTTGAAAATCTCACCCTTCTGGGCATATTTTAGCTAGAAAGACAGCCACTGACTGGGTAAAAATCTGTGCTTAAACCCCATCACTTTCTTCCTGAATCTAACCACCAGCAGGGATCATTTAGCACTTGAATCTTCTGTAGAGGTAAGATTACAAAAATTAATTCCAGGGATAAAGCTCTCCCTTATGGTTGTGAGAAAGATGAGTGTGTTTGTCACGTAAATCAGTGCTTGTTGGCAAAATGAGAGGCTCTCCAGGGACTCCAGCTGGAGCACTCCCATGGTCCCACAGCAGATAGGTTATAACCTGGGAGGGAAAGAGCAAACTGAAAAGAACTCTGGTGTCAAGCAGTCTCTAAGATCAGTTTACAGGCTTAAAGTGTAACTGGAAGCCAAATGCTTTATATGATATACACAGGGCTTAGTGTACAGCAGTTAATTGGCTTAGTTAATAATACAGAGCCAGCCTGGGGTTTGGAGTTACAACACTGGAGTTATTTTTGACATTGTTGTAAGAAAAATACCCGTTTTTAAAGAAAACCACCCTCTAAGGAGGTCTTGTTGTTAAACACAGTCAGGTGTGATCAGAAGGTGTAATGACAGCGTAGAGACAAAAATCTGCCTGTGGTGTAATTTAATAGTAATCACAATGTGATACTATTCGTGCATCACATTTTTCTCCCCTCTGTGTATATTACTTGCAGATAGTAACTCTGCTAATATCTTGATGCACATTCCTTCCAAAAATTTCAAACTGGCAGGAATTTTCATATCTAATCACTTTATCCATAAATCCCTTGTCTTTCCAGGCTGGTTGTGAACGTTGTTGTTGAAATATGCTTGCAGTGATCCTGTGTGTTACAGGCACTAAATCTTTTCAGCTGTGAAGGAGAGTTTGGGGGAGCTGTGGGGGATCAGGGCACTGCCAGGACTGCATGTAGGACTCACCTTTACTTGTTTGCCAGATTTTTTTACAAGCCATTGAGCCAAGCACAGACTTCCCTGTGAGAGGATGAAGTTTTGTGGTCAAAGTGATCATCTCCTTGGTGCCTTTGAAAATAACCTATTTTACTCATTATTATTCAGGCATTTAAAGCCACTTTTTCTCCTGGATGTGAAAATAAAACCACCACTTCAAACTAGCTGYTAATTTCTGTATTTTGATTGTCACAGACAGGGCAGAGTGCCTGTGAGGTTTCAGAGAACCTTTGTAACCACAGRTCTGGGCTCAGGGATGGATGTAGGGGATGGTAGCTGAAGCTGACCACTCCAAGAAAGAAGCTGGAGATTGATTGTGTTTTCACCACAAACACAACCTTATGTATTGGTATCCTTGTTTTCAGCTTGTGCCCTGTGCAATCATTCTTCTCATGATGACAATGATGGTATTTGTTTTTTCTGGGTTCATTTTCTAGTTACACTGTCATATCTGTGCTGGTACTGACTAGAGACCACCAAACAGGGTAGAAACCAGGTGATTTCTCCCCTTTACATGAGCAAAAACCAAAAAAATTAAAAAGAAATTTTCCTTCCTGAAAGGAAAGCCATAACCTTGCTCCTTAAGGTATCTTGGAGGTAGTTGGCATGCTGTGTGCTGCCCATCCTAAATACAAGCTTGCAGCCAGCCTCTGCCAAGAATGTATTTTTACCTTTCTCCTTTGCTTTCAGCCCCTTTCCCTTTCTCTTTTGCCAGGAGCTGTAGATCGCAGTGAGGGCACAGTGAATATTAACTGACTCACAGAGCCCTTTCCCAGCCCTGTGACTCACATGCAGCTCATAAAGCACAGTCATTCTGTCCCCTCCAGCTCCTTGTCAAGAGGTTCCTTCACCCAGATGGAGTTTGCTCCAACAGGGCAGAGCCCAGCTGATACCAAGGCAGGCTAGCTATTAATTTTCATGAACACTGATTTCTGCACTTCAGGGCTATTTTTATCAGTCTTTCAGCCCTAGTATTTGATTTTCCAGCTGACATTTTCCCATTCCATAAGAGAAATACCAAGCCCTGAGCCATGGAGATGGACCAAAACTGCAATCTGGAGAAACAGATTTGGTGTCGCCRGCTGTTTTAGCCAACAGAAATTCCCAGATGTGTCAGTCAACTGCTTCAATGCACAGAAACATTTGAGGAGGGCCCAGTTCTACAAAAGACAGGTGGCCAGTCCTGCTCAAACCAAGTGACTTCTGCCTTCACTGTCAGCACAGTCATCGGTGCTGTCACACCACTCGTGGCATTTACAAATTCATTCATTACAATTGGAGCAGATGAAGTTGTTTCTACAAATGATGCTGAACTGATTTTCCCCCTTTCAGGAATGGGAAGATGGGCAACAGTTGTTTGATTTGTTTCAGAGAAGTGATGCAACAGCTTCAAAAGAAATGTGGTTCATAAATTGCTCTGCCTGGACTCCAGGAGCCTCCAGCAGAATGGAATTGTGTTTCTCGGCAGACTGGTTTTTGAGAAGTCTTGTTTGGGCCACTCACTGTAATAGACAGCCCAGGATTGGGTGACAAGTAAAAGATTCATGGTGTAAGGATACTGATCTTCATGACAGTCCTGAATAACAGGCTACAAGGTCAACTGCCTGGTGAGAAAGGCATGAGAGCCTTCCGGTGCTCAGGGCCTGCAGTTATTGCTGCAGTCCCTCACTCCATCCAGGAATGCTGGTAATTACAGGAACACGCTCCTCACTGACAGATTGCAGGAAGCTAAAGATGGATGCTGTTGTCTTTTAGAAAATAATGTCCTTCCCTYCATCCCTCTTCCTTCAGATCCTTCTTAAGCACTTTGTTCACTGCCTCCCAGCCCTGCTCTGACCATGGTGCTTCCAGCACTTGCTGGACTCAGTGGGAGCAGGAGGACACAGGGGTGGGAATTCCTCCTCTCCCTAACAGAGAATGGTCTTGCAGGAGGGTCTGCAGACAAGTCTGGCTTTATCTGAGGGGGRAAACCAGCCCCACTGTAGACAGTGGGGTTAAAGGGAGTGATGCAGATTTTGGGGTTTTGCCTGTCWTGGAGTCAGGAGGGAATATTCACTGACATCCTATTGCTTACACATTTCAGCTGCCAAAGGGGATCAGTGAGCTCAGGGTGACGACAGACCAGCACCGTCCAAGCACCCAAAAATCCAGGAAGARCTGTTCATTTCTCACTGGTTGAAGTGAAGCATTATGTTTTATCCCAACAGTTTGCTAACATTCATCCTCTGGCTCCTTCCCAGGTGGGTGACTGGCCACTGGAGTCCCTGCTCTGCCACGTGTGAGAAGGGTGTCCAGCACCGGGAGGTCACCTGTGTGTACCAGCTGCAGAATGGCACCTATGTCACCACCAGGGATCTCTACTGCCTGGGCAGCAAACCAGCCACRGTGCAGAGCTGTGAGGGACGGGACTGCCTGTCCATCTGGGAAGCATCAGAGTGGTCAAAGGTAGGAACTTCACTCCAGAAAGGAGCCAGATTGCTGAGAGCTCTGGATACACTGGCCTTAATCCATAGTTCTCATGGTTAGCATCCTCACAGCCCTGGAGCACTGGGCAGGACTCCAATCTATTGRGATGAGGTTTGGTTTTCAGACCAGATGAGTTGGTAAGACAGGTTTTAGATCTGCTCTGGTGTCTGTATCTTTCCATCTGAAAACTCTGACCAGGAAGGAAAAACGTTTCACTGACCTGAGGCCARGAGTGCAGTTACCCAGCAGAGCTTCTGGCTCCATTTAAATGTGGTATAACAAATACCAGGCTTATCAGGCATCTGCATGTTACAGAGGATCTACAGTTTTTGGGCCCTATCCAGCCTCATTTAGTGTAACTCCAGGAACATGAAAACACTGGTTATACTTTGTATAAAAGGGACATCTCTGAGTAGCTGCAGAGTTAAGAAATTTTCCCCAAGTGTTATAAATGCATTTCTGATATAAATAATGTGTTGTCTAGACAGTTCTGCTGTGTTCTGTTTAGCAGCAGAGCAATCTGGGAGTGTGCCTGCAGTTCATGACCAGCACTCAGCTAWAACAGGGCAACTTTGTACCCTGTGAGTTACAGTCCTTGTAGAATGCCCATGTTCATTTTAATATTGTATTTGTTGGGCTCACCTGAATGAGGAGATCATTTCCCTCTGAATGCAATGCTTGCAGCTCTGCCAGCCTCATTCCAGCCTGGCTGTCCAGCAACCATCCTTTCTGTGGGAAGGATTCCTCWTTATTCACCTCTATTTGAAACAGGGAGCTCCTGTTTAAAACATTGTCAAAGAGCTTTTGCTAAATATTTTTGTTAGAAATGTGCTTAAAATCACAGAAGCTCAGGATAGAAGGGATCCCRAGGAACAGTGTCTCCTCACAAACACAATGGGATTTCATTGTGTRCCTCCTGAACAGGAAATCTTAGTTTGGCAGGAGAGATGGTGGTTAAGAAAGAGCAGTGTTCCCTTTCAGTGGGGTGCTGGATCTGTTCACTGGTGCATGAGATTTGTGTTCTTTCTGAGTTCTTTCATTTCAAAAGATGTGGAGAAGCACACCRAAGTTTTAATAAGTTGTCTGATGGGTCTTTTGTGTGTCGTAGACATTCCCCTTTCAGATGATGCCCCCTTTATTTCTCATAGCTAAACCAGCTGAACTGTTTATAGCTGAGATTAGGGTGCAATTSCCACCTGGTTTACATGTGGATTTTTAACTTGGGTCTTTTGTTAACAATGCCAGGTACTTCTCTCTCCCTTTTATGAAATGGAGTGAGTCARGTTACAGATCAGTGGAAATCTTCCCTATTTGTGACCATATAACTCCTTTGCAAATAYACAACATTTTTAGATCATTTTTTCAATAGCTGGTTTACTTTTCCTTTGATACATTTCTTTACTTTTGTTGGGTCTGTAATTGTGCACTTGTGATTTTAAATTGGTTATTCTGGCCCATTTTTGCTCTTATGAAGCGCAGTTGACTCCAGGACACGTTTGATGCTCTGCCAGTGTGAACCCTTCTCACACCTAGGATTTTATTCAATGGTGATCACTTTATTCCTCAGCATTTTAATCTGATGTTGTGGAATAAATATTGCTGTAATTATATCATTTTATAAATGAATTTTTTGGTCTATTTTTTTTTCACTTCTTGGTTATACAACACTGTTGACCGCACTGATGTCTGGTCGCTGGTCAAAAATGTGTGTTTTCACAGCAAATTCCAATGCAATCTTCATTGTGGAAAAAATTAAGTTCCCCTTGTATTGCCAAACACTTGAGATTGTTTTGGACAAAGTACTGCTCGACCCATTTTTAATGATAAAAATAGAGACTGTCAGGAGAAGGTGAATGTTTCTACTGTTAGGGAACTAGAGTGGAAAAAAAATATGGATTTCCTTCAGATAAAGGAGTTGTGTCTTAACTGCAAAGTTGTGTTGCTCCTTTGCAAAACCTCGTGGGCTTTGACAAAGTCATTTGTTAATAATATAGTGAACACACAGAAACTGAGCTTATTAATCTGTGGACTCTCGGTAAAATCTATGTATTAAGAAATTCTTCATGGAAATGGATGACTTGAGGAAACAAAAAAAACCTCTTAAAGAGAGTGATTTATATGTGACCACCAAAGATCTGTTGGAAACCTTCTTGCTCATGCTGTTTTGTCTAGGAAAGTATATGCAGTATTAATCTGTGAATGACTTAAATGCTGTGGGAAGAACAAACAGTTGGTGTTTTTCCCAGACTTGCTTGTAAAACCCACCTAGAGATTTCTCCTACTGTGAAAAATACTCCCACTTCAGCTTGATTTACTTTGAGTAAATTGGACCGTTTCAAAGATTTTTATGTATTGGGCTTTGTAGTCTGAGGTGAACGAGTGCAACCCTGGAGCTTTGAGGAAAATGATACATAATTTGGGAAAATCTACACAACTTGGGGCAAATTCATGGCTTTAAGGTACCATTTAGGTAGCTCCAGCCTGRGCTGTCTGGCAAGCCTCGTGCTCTGAGCAGTCCAGCAAAGCATTTTGTGGAATTCTGCAAAGCTGGGAAGAATTCATCGCCGTGTCTTAGCAGAACCATGCATTGTGCTCCTTACAAAGATGTTACATCCGTRAGGGGGTCGTGCCATGAGCAGCACACAGTAAATTAAGTGGAAGSTTTCCCAGATTTTCAAGAAGTCACTTTGTAGTGCTGTGAAGTATTTAAAGGCATGTCTGTTTGCTTGCCAGCTCATAAACGCTTGTCACTCATGTCCTTAACAAGGCCAGCAGGTCAGAACTGCCTGGATTGTGTTTTTAAGATGGTTAGACAGGCATGCTGAGATTTGTCCATTTGATGTAATTTATATCAAGCTGATGCTTGTTTCCAGCATAGACCCCCTGGATGGAGAAGCTTCTTGGAACACGTTCAAAAGACCTCACAGAATATCTCATATCTTCACTATTTATTCAGTGTCAAATCAACTGTCTTTTCCCTGCTGGCCCCCCGAAGGGGAGAGCTGACATGCCACAGGAGGTTAGTTTTTATCTCAGCTGCTGCATAGATCATTTTTCCACCCACCTGTCCCCAGTGGCACTGCAAGACAAATTCTCACTCTAAACCACTGCAGTGGCATGAGAATGAGGAGCAGGCAGGCTGGCTGTGCTCAGGGGAGGTGACAGGGACTTAGGTGGCTGTGACAGCAGACCTGCTGCTCTAGTACCAAACTGGTTATTGAAAAATGAAATGTGGGTTCAGTTCATGCCAGTGTCCTTTTCCCACCTCGTACAGCCAAGAAAATCAAGACAARTTCTTTGTTAAAAAAGRRTTTCCAACCATTGGCAAAGATAACRAGTGAGTGACCAGATATCCCTGCTCTTTAGGTGCCAATTCCATRGAGCCCAGGCACAAATACATTCGTGGATAATTTGTGCTCACTCAGTGAATGTTTGTTAGAGTTTTTCAGAACTAAGATAGTGATGAGCATTTGACAAATCCAAAAGAAAAGGTGATATGTGTGTTTCACATGAGAACATGTGTGAGAACTGCAACTTTGCCATGGTATGTACAAACTGTACTACAGAAATGTGTTTATAACAGTGGTCTCATGCTTCTGTGATTTAAAATTGCATTTAACAGCACCTTTTTTGATGTGGCAGTTCCCTGTAGTGACTCTCAGTGTGTCCTTCAGTATGAACGAGCAGCCCTTCAACAYTACATTTAGTGGCACCAATTCTAGCAAAAAGCCAGCTGACATTTTTCAGAGGAGGTTGGTTTTCTAAATTGCCTTTTTTTCATAAGTAAAGTATTTCACAAGCACGAATCATGCTTTTCAAATTACTCATGTATGAGTGGCTTAGATTACTGTAATAAAATCCTACGGATTATCATTTTCCTCAGTGCTCATAACCCCAGCATTTCCTTTGAGCTGTRTTACCAACATAAAGGCTATCATTTCTAAGCATCATGTAACAAAACCCAAACCCCTGGTTTTTTTGCAGTGCTCAGCAGACTGTGGCAGGGGAATTCAGAAAAGAACAGTRACGTGCACAAACTCCCAAGGCAAATGTGATGCAGCCACCAGGCCGAGAGATGAGGAGGAGTGCGAGGATCACACGGGCTGTTACGAGTGGAAAACGGGAGACTGGTCCAAGGTAACAACAACACTTTGTGGTGTTTTCTTTCTGACAGCAAAGGTGTTCAGGGTGCTGAGCTCCCATCTGCTGTCTGCATTAACTTGCAGTTCAAATATTTAGGAAAGGTTTAGCTGGTTTTCAGGGTAGTCTGAGACCTACACACATAGTCCAGTTCTAGACTCATTTGAGCCACCTGAAATGAAAGAAGGATTTTAGTTWAAAGGCAGAGCCAAAGCCATCAGTCCTTCCTCAGGGCTGGAGCTTACCTTCACTTAGGCCTGTCTGAACTTTGTTTCTCCAGTGACATYAGTGGAATTAATTCCTGAATGCAGCAATTAATGCAAATTTAGTTTTTGCATTTGCATTCTGATCTTAAAGTAATACAAGGTTTTGCTTGGGAAGGAGGCCTGGCAGTGTGAGAAATTCAGCCCTTGCCAGTGGTGTTCAGAAAGCATCCTTTACCTTACTGACTTTGTGTTTGCACAAAGGACTAACATTTCCCAGCAATATTATATTATATTCGAGTTTGGTTTTATCTTATCTTTCTAACTGTGCTGTTCTTTAAACAGAAAACCTACTTTGTGTTCTGGAATGTAYGGCATGTGCAGAAACCACTGGGATACAGTAGTTGCACTTTGCTTTCCAAAAACCCAAACTCCAGCAAGTAAAATCCAGTGAAGCAGAGGCCCAGGATGGGCAAATTGGCTTATCTGTGATTGCATTTTTATTTTAGGAATTACAATTATGTATATACTCTGTCACAGATACATGAATTTAATGGTGTCAGTGCTGGAGAATGCAGGAAGAACCTGCCACATAGAGTGTCTGTAGTTATGCTGGGCCAGGAATTTATGTCACAAGATGTTTACAGTATTGARCATTATTTTATTCATAACCTGGCACTCAGAGGCCATGCAAGCTGGCCAAAACAAACGGTCYTCGTGTGTTAACAGGTGAAATAACATTATTTATTTAGTTATTTATTTGTGGAATATTAGAACATTTTGGCATGCAAACAGACCTGGATTCTCTTGATAGGAGGAATATGAAATAACTGTGTGTTCACCRATTGCATGGCTTGAAAGTTCAGTGTTTTTTGAACAGTTCCAATCTGATAAAGATGCTGGCTCACTGCTGGGAGGGCTGCAATCCTGCATGGGTCACAGTAAATAGTGTTGTTGATGGCTTTAGTGTCTGCATGTGAGCAGGGCAGGRTCAGGGAAAAATCACTTGTTATTTGAGATTCTTAACTCAGGATCAGGATCATCCCTGTGCAGGAGGGCACAAAAACTTGTGTGCTGTATATGTGGCCTGCTTCTGTCTGCTGGGAGCTWGTGCCAGTGCTCTGCTTCCCAGGAATTTCACCCTGTGTGAGTCCAGCAGGATGTTCTTGGACTTAGATTTGGTTTGTAATGAGCATTTAAAATTCTAGACATATTGGTTAATTCTGACTGGACACTTAGGTCACACAATTAGATTCTTATTCTCTGAGTAGAGGGGTTGAGATTGCTAGAAAAGGGTAGGTACAATTCTTAGAAGAAAATGTATTGTTCCAGAAACCCAGATAGCTGAAATGTTTGGTGGAATTTTCAATTCTTCACAAAGTGTAGTGAAGGGTTTTTCATCATGAGGATCCAGAAGCTTTAATGCAGAGCTTGGTCTAAGGAGGGGAGCCTTTACAGCTATCAGCAACTCTGGCTTAAAGCAGTTCCTCCTGTAAGGAGAAACACAAAGTCTGTAGCCATTAGATTATAGTGGACTCTTTAAAATTCATCCTTCCAGGGCAAAATTCCACTATAAAACATTTGTTCCCAGCCCTGTAAAAGTCACTGTAAGAACGCTTTGTGCTGACTAAGATGGAAACTTTTTCTGTTAATGCAAATTGATCTCAGAACAAGCAACAACTTTGTGCAATTAATGTGTTGTGCATTTGTTACTTATTGTTGGGAACCATCAGGGAAGCAAAATTTAACTAACAGTGGTAATTATCACAGATTAAAATTATGGTCTTTGATGCTTTATGTGCAAACAGCTTGCCTGGTTACTTGGCCTCTGATCCCTAATTTCCCAAACCAAGATCCTCTTTGAAGATGCTGGGAAGTCATCAAGTAAGAGAGAGGGAAAACCTCATTTAAAAAGTCAAGTCCAGATACAACTTGTAAATAGAGCAGGCTGTTTGGGTGGTATCACAGAGTGGTTTTTTGTGTTGGTAGTGGCAGTATTTGTAGAATACACGGACTCTGTGTGTGAGGAGATGGATCAGCTCCCTGAGGAGCTCCCAGCAGCAGTAAAATCCCCACACCTATCCCAGACAAATTGGGATTTGAAATTCTCAGCCCTCATGTAGAAGAGGTGAGGGCTGGAGCCAAGGCCATGCTGARCTGAGACCTGCACCCAGCAGCCAAAACCTCTTTCACTGGCTTTAGCAATAGTTCTGTAGCCATTATCCATGCTTGAAAGAAGACAATTTTCATCCCATTTTCTATCAGCAGCTGGTCCTTGCTGTGTCCTGTGGCTGTGGAAAGCATTTGGAGCTAATTGAGCAGATTCAGCTACACAGTCCTGACTGTCATGTTTGTACATTCTCCATATATTTGCAGCATCTTTCAAGTGTTGTACAAGGGGYTGATATATCCAGTTCACTTTGCAAACACATAAGGTCAAGTTTGTGAAGTTATTTTAAATGAGATTACCTTTGTCAGCCCAGTGTTTGAGATTAGAAAACTGTACTGTAATTCTAAAGACAGRTTTGTTCTGTTACCAGGCCTCCATTACCACTGCTACAAAACTTGCAGCTTCTCTGCACTGCTGCCACTTCTCTTTTAAACCCATTATTCTAAAGGGATATAATTATTAATTTTAGCATTTAAGCATTGGTGTTATGGGTTTCATAACTAAACTGTTCCTGGCCCCAGAGTCTTCAAACCTAATAGAAATATGAATCACACAATGCAAGATCCAYGGAAGGTGTTACCCTGAAATAATTTTCTTTTATTTTTGCCTTTTGGATTCTTCAGAATTACAATTCATTATATCATCCTTTTTTTTGTACATGATGCAATATATAAAAGGGAGTCCAAGCCATCTCCCATTCARTCGTTTCTTCCAAGAGGAAATTCCACATCCAGTTTGCATTCAGTTAAAGAAACAAACATCTCATACACTCGTTCTGCTTTGAAATAGTTCCTCCTTGTTTGAAATCCGAGCCRTTAAATGTTCTAGCGCTGGAAGCATTTTTACATTTTTGTTGTAGTTGTGCTGGTCAGAGGAACAAACTCAGGTTGCTCAGTTTCCCAACATTTGCCTCAGACTCCCAGACTGCTGAAAATGTGCCTGTTGATGCTTTAGCAAGACAGTAGTTCATTCTTTCATGATGAATTATATTTTTGCTGACAAACTTTGCATCGAGGATTGCATTCCTGYGAGGAGTGGGCAGCCCATGAACAGAGTGTGTCTTTCTGTGTGTGGCTCTGGGGAGCTGAGCAGGACACACAGCTCAGCTCAGCTCCACACCGTCCCTGCTCCAGGCTGTGCTGGGATGAGCAGCTGCAGGACTTAGGCTTGGCTTTGGAGGCACTGGAAACGTGTCCCAGATGATGCAGGGAGCTGGAGGTGCTGCTAATTAAACTTGTGGTGGTGACACAGATCTTGTGCTTGAAGGTGAGCAGCACCAGGGGCTGCTTTTTAGCCACCCAAGGTTTCCTCCCCTGTCCTCAGCTCTCTCCCCTTCTGCTCCAGCAGTAATGGCAGGAAAAGATRGCCCAGGGGAGGCCTTAYTGCTCTCCACAACCACCCCAAAGCACATTGTGCTGAGGTGAGGATCAGGTTCTTCTCCCAGACAACCAGAGATAGGACAGGGGAGCTTCAGGYTGGATATCAGGAAAAYGTTCATCACTGAAGGAGTGGTTAAACAGGYTCCCCAGGGATGTGGTGGAGTGTTCARAAAACAGGCAGATGTGTGACACCGTGCTGTGGTTTAGTTGGCAAGGTGATGTTTGCTCAAAGGTTGGACTTGACCTTGGAGGTTCTTTCCYAACCTTAGTTATTCTATAATTCTGTACAGGCAAGGCTATATYTTTTGAGTTCCTTTCCTCCAGTTGCCCTTGGACTCTTCTAAGATATAACTGAGGAGGCCAGGTTATGTAGCAGGAACAATTCTCTACAAGATTTTTATGGATTTTTCTTCATTTCCAGTTTTACTTAATTGTTTCTCTGTTTTAYATGCCTCAAATTSTGTCCTGACTRAAGTTCTGTATTTGGAACCAATAGYRCAGACTGGTTCATGGCTCCCAGTTTCTTTTYTTTTTACTATTCTGCATTTAACTGGTGTTATATCCAGGAAGGTGGAATTACAAGCCAGATGCCCAAGCTCCATCATTAGCACTGACTTTCACAAGGAGCATTTTCAGCTCTGTGGGTGGAAGTTTAAATATGCAACTTCTGTCCCTCAGGCAACAATTTAGCTCATTAACCTATTATATTACCCAGCCCAATGAAGAGATTTTTAGAAGAAGAAAGACACACAGAGGCCTTGTGGCCATGTTGGCTTTGCCATATTTTTTTCTTTGCASTTACAGTAGGTGCTCTGTAAATACTAAGGCCTGTATTAATCTCAGATAACCCAATGTAAATCCAGGGTAACTCTTTCATTCTTCCCTACACCCCACTGGCCACGGGCCAAGGATCTCACTCAGCACAGTGGGTCAGGTATCAGACTCTCTTACACGGGGTAAACCCAGATTAATTCAGGCACTGGAGTTAAGGCAGGTTTATGCCAGTGGCAGGGCAGGGTCTGACCTGGTGCACTGTGCAGAATCTGTGGGCCTTGGGTAGCAGCCATCACAGATCTGTGCTCTCAGGAGAAAGCAAACACATGACACATGAAGCTGGGCTTCAGCTAGCAGAGAAAGTAGAGGAAAAATCCATTTCTACCACYTGACATCTTGTATAACCACCTGGCACAACTTTCACTGGATTCAGAAAGATTGTGCACTCCAGGAACTGGAAAGCACTAGTRA